AATCAGTTGGAGCTGAGCGTCAGAAAGATCTGGTGCCGATTCCTCCTCTCGTTTTGGCGAAACGAAAGATCGAACGGCGAAGAACCAAATAAATGTGTTGTGGAAGAAACCGCACATCGGCAGCCTGAGAAAGAGTCTCAGTTAGAGCTGAAGGTCAAGAAAATAGCCATGCTCTTGCATCTGAATCAATGCCAACACTTTAGAATCAGATAAGGAATGGCAAAGTCAACTATGACTGACAGCACCGATTATTAAAGACACGAGCAAACAAAGAGCGAGTACGCGGCTTTCAGATGGCGACCATCAATAGTTAAGATGGCCACTGAAGCCAATTCACTTTTAGCGAGCAAATAAAAACAGTGAGGCTGTTTCACAGAAGCGTCTGAGGTCAGAATTAGTCTCAAAAAGCAGCCTCAAACTTAAAACATTCCCAAATTACATAAGGCTCCCTGGTAAGAGGGGAAAAAAAGGGAAAACAACCACGGTACATATGAATTAAATTAGTGCTGGCAACATCTCCACAACACCACAGAGAAGGTACAAACACTAAGAGGCCAAACTTTCCCCCCCTCTAACTCTCTCTCTTTTACTGCATGTATAAGATGGAGAATGTCTTATGTAATGTACACGAAGCTGGGAGCTCATGGAAAGTGGGAGACAAAAAACGTGAGGGAAGGACGGAGGAAGAGAAGGGAATAGAAGCCGAGTTGAACGCGAGGAGGAAATGGCGTCTCAGGGAATTAGGGATGGAGGGGAAGAGGGTGGTAGGAGGGAGGGGGGTGAAGGGGGCAAAGTCTGGAAGCTAGCTGACAGGATTGGATATGCCCAGACAGAGAGCCAGGCCCAGGCCCAGACTTGAGAGCCTTATGTGAATCTCAGAAATGCCTCACCCATCTCTCTCCCTCACCCCCTTCTCTTAAAAAGAAAAAAAGAGAAACCCTCACAATTCCTCCCTTCCCAGTCCGATACTCCTCAGCCATACTCACAGGCAGAGCTCCTCCCTTTCTTTTCTCCTCAAACAAGCAAACACACAAAGTCAAACTGGACTGCTGTAGTGCCCCTGAGCACATACGACAGAATCCAGGGTGTTGACCGAGCAAGTAAATAATAACATAAACCAGCTGCGGCTCCACTTCAACCACAATACTTTGGGTATATTACTGTACAACTGGCAGATCCCTTAACTCAGCTTTCTGATCCCTTAAAGGGTCAAACTAGATCTACTTTTACTTTCATTTGCAAGTTAAACAGTAACAATGAAGCTGGAAATGGACCAAAAGTACAAAAAGTAAAAAGGAAAGGAGAATAAAAGGGAAAAAAGAGAGCATCTTCCTCTAAAATCTCCCATGTCTTAGCTCTCTTTCTCTATCTTTCCTCATCAGCAGCGCCCTGCCCCAGACATGGTCTGCATATTGTCTGCAAGGCTTTGCGAGCTGAAATTCTCTCATGATAGAAATACTGAGCAGGGAGTGCAGAAGGCGCTTTAAAGAGAATGGGAAGAGGTAGGGCGGGGTGGTTGGAGTGAAGCACTGAGTTGTCTGTGTTTATTTTGGAAATGCAGGACTGCACACTTGCAGCAGAGGAACTGACCCTAAACTTCACCGATCCTCACAGAAAAAGCCAAACCCGAGCACTCATTTAGGATGTCCCACACAGGTGATTTAAGAAAAGGGTAGCCCATATATCCCCTCTGGGCAGGGGGCTGAGGGGTAGTTTAACCCACCCTGGGGACACAGGAATGGTCTGCTCGAGGAGGAAGCAGTGAGGCCGTGAGGTGATTAGTGGTTACAGTTTAACTGGAGAAAAATGCACGGTGCGTGAGCCCCAGCCAGCCTGGGAGCAAAGCGGTATGCACTGGTCTTTTTCAGTTTTCAAACTAGAATGAGTCAAGTCACTGTATGCACTTTGTCTATTCTTAATGCATGGGTCCAAGAGTGTGACCCATACAGACACATCAGTCTGCAGCGCTCCAAAATATGTCTGTGTCATTCAGCAAGCACGTGGCAATGATTAGGAATAAAAGATTTGATTCGTCTGGAAGTGATTTACTATTATATACAAGTTTATCTACATTCAGGTATTGAGATTTACATGGAAGTAGCCACCAGGTCACAATGTTCAGCTTGAGGCTACAAGAGAGGACTTTACTAACCAGTGGATGATGCCAAAGTGGTTTTATCCACCCTTTATGTACAGTTAGTGGTAAGCAATTGAATGATTACATTGCCTTAGCGTTTTGGCAATAATTTAATTAATTAATGATAACAGGCAACTCATTCATTGCGACTTATCTTCAAATAGGCACAGCTTTCTTAGAAATGTATCCAAAAACTGACCATCCTCTCTTCTCCGCCTAGCTTCAGTACAAAGACATTTCTTCTGGCACAACACTTGCATCTCCTCGATCACTGGTAACGAGCTTGAATGCACGACCCCGCCAAACGCGTTCGAGACGTGACATTTCCCTAATGCATGAAGCACGAGGCTGTTCATCTGATTAGCGTTAACTCTCTACAAATGCAAACCCCAGAAAGGACAGGCTCTGCCATGGGAAATCTCAAGTGCTGCAGCTCTTATCCCTGGGAAGATAAACGCAAGTGTGTATCAGGTGCCTTGTTTTCACTGCATGCTGCCTCATTCACTGACCACTGTAATCCTCCCTCCCCTGCTGCTGAGTTGCCTTTCAGCTCGCCTGTAATCCCTAGCAGCTACGGAGCCCCACTGTGATATTAATTCGAACACTCAACTTGGCTTTACCAAGCAGGTTTGTGCAACTTACATCCCACCCACTTACTGGTAGCAATCCTTGCCCTCCGCACAGTGTTTTTTTCCCCTCTTAAGTGGCAAACATATTGTTGTGGTTTTACATGAAACTGTGAAAAAAAAACAACTTGCTTCTGCCACCTTTTAAACTTTAGATGAGGATTTCTTTGGCGGCAATGCAAAAAGCACAATGTAACAATCAAATCTATGGTGTCCATTTGTATTGGGCCTCGTTTAAGGTATTAAGCACAAGTGCACCCTGGATTCCCACCATCTCTCTACCACAAACCTCGTGGTAATGCTGACGCAGGAGTACGCCTTTGAGTTCCACCTTTTCCACCATAAAACAGCTGCCGTTCCCTCACAGTTTGGACCAAAACTGAATGATGTCACGGTTGCGGTGCAATCTCAAGACACATGGAAAATTGAGGAGGGGGTGAATACCACACCCATGATCTGATTTTAGAGACTGGCACGGTGGACAGCCTTAATAGTAAATATCCTCTGAGGAACCAACTACAGCAGCCAAAGGCTGTCAGACCTATAACTCTGGCTAGCACTCGGTGCAAGTTGTTGCTCCCAGCAGCAGTCCAGTTCCCTACATATGGCCAAGTATGAATTAAGGGAAGGAAAAGGAAATATACAGCAAGAAAATTACACACACACATCCTGTGAGCGTGGAATGCCACCACAAAGACGCACAGCTGGAGTTCTGTGGACATCTGGCTTTATGGTGGAGATGAGAGACTTTTCTCTGCAATGACTAAATGTTGTGGGAGAGAGTCGTTGCCTGAATAGCGATGGTGATAAATGCCTTTCCGTCTGACCACAGCCTTTCTCTCGGATGGATGTTATGGTTGACCTGCGGCTGAACTGATCATCAGCTGACTGGATAAACAATGCAGCCAGTGGGCTGTGGATGTGAGGAGCACCTGTGCTCACAGTTCTGAGAAGGTTTATGGATTACATAGTGGGGGCCTCAGGGAGGGAGCAAAAGGAGTCTCTCCCTGTGCAGAAAGCCTCCACGGCCTCTTTCGCTCCTTCCCCACATTCTTTGAGAGAGGTCCAGTGGGCCTGTGGCCAGACCTCCTCTCTCCACATGCTGCCTGTGTGACGGTTTTTCTCATGCACCAACACACTATATTGTTCACAGAACACCTCACAGTCACCTTGGAAATATACAGTCATCCAGCTCTTATCCCAGCCCCTGAGTGTGCCTCGTTCTGCTTGTGGCCTAATGCGTTTTAATGATCAGGCCTTATTACCCTCCAGCGTAGGCCTTGTTAGGTCTGCCTTGGCAGGGCAGAGCTCGGCTCTCTCTCTCTCCTGGCATCTTCTGGAACAATGGGACCAGGGGAGGCAGCCAATGGGGAGAAGGTCCATCCCAGGCCCAGTCCCAGTGTGCACACAATTAGGCTTAGGAACAGTGGAATTGCTTAATTGGAGGAAAATAGCGCTTTATCTAGGTTTCTCTGCCAGGGCTCATCCTTGCCCCCCTGTGCTACATGCTTGGTCTCATCTAACTCAGAACTGGATGGAAAAAAAATGACACAATGGCAGGCATATAAAAAGACCTAAAAGAGGTCTTAAGATCATAGTTATGGGCAAAATATTCCATTTAATCGCAGCACATTTTATACCCAGTTGCAGCAAGATGAAAAGTTTAAGTGAGAAAATAAGTTTAAAAAAAAATAAGTATTTTCTCATCTTCGTTATTTACCAATAACAAACATCACCGGTTTACGTATCACTCACAAGCATGGAGGCGTTGAACTCTCTATCAGATGCGGTGGCAAACATCAGAGAGCTTCTATCAGGGAGGCTCTGTCTTGCACAACAGCTGGCTGAGTGGTGATGCATGCCTCTATATAGGGCGAGATTTGTGACACTGCTCTAAAAATGTCTCTCTCGGGGTCTGTGGAGAGGGATGCTGGATTAAGAACGGATGCAGACACGCGGAAAAGGTCGGTGACGCGGTTTGTGGGTGAATGGCACAAAACCCGGCGATGGCACGCTCGCCTCTACCGGCCTGTTGGCTGTGACAGAGCGGGGAGTCCTGGCTGCAGGATTTTCGGCGCACCGCTGGAGAGAGTCCCCGAAAATAGGTCACTGCCCTGTTTGAACTCGCGCAAATTTTCCTCACAAAGCAGGAGCGCACTCACACCAGCGTGACCACGCAAGACAAGTGGGCACAACACACAGAACTGACGTCTCAGATAGGGTTGCCTTTGGCTTACCTTGAAGCGAGAATGCCGTGGATGTGGTCGAGATATCTCCGGCTTGGTCCCGATCTCTGCTGTGCAAACTTCGCACGCAAAGTCCCGTGGCTCTAACGGCGTCTGTGTCAAGAAGACCCCTCGTCAGTTTGTTGCTTTTTCTACGTTAAAAACGAAATAAACAGCTGTCATGTCTTGGGAAAATAGAACTAGGTGTCTGGAGAGGCGGTCCGTTTGCAGACCATTGTCAGGATTATTTCTAAGCATTGAAAAGCAAACATAAGCCTTAAAACGCAGCGTGTGTGACAGCTGCTCGTTTAAATAAAGGCTTGTCTACGAGGATGACAGCCTTGTCTGTGGTCGTGGGGTGATATTTTGCATGTTATCCCGACACTGGAAACCCGTCAAAAAAAGTGCAAACACCCAGAGATCCTTAGCCTGAACTGTTCCCGCTGAGGAAAAAACAACGAAGACCACTTGCTTGTGCTGTGCATCAAAAGCGCATAGGTGATTTCTTCCTAAATTCAAAGCGCATCGCTTAATGGCAACGCTGGTCAAGTACAGGGGTTCCTATGGGTGGTCTTGCTTCTCCAAAGAGGGGGCGGGGGTGAAGGGGTGGGAGGGCACCAAGTGGTGGTGGTGGATAGGATAGATAGGGCGGGTTGGCGACGGGATGTGGGGTAGAGGGAGAGGATCGTCTCTAGCTTCTTCGGTGCTTTTCCAGATGCAGAGGTAGGGCTGTTTTTGGTTTCTTTTCGCGCAGTGATCCCCGTGTGTCTTCTGCCTGATTTTTTTTTCTTTCTTTCTTTCTCCTCCCTCTCCGCACTCGGGGAGACGCTGAGTGCTGATGGAAGTCTCCCCCACGACCGTCTGACGCGCACAGACAGCCGCCCGGAGCCCAGCCAGCCCGTCAGGACCAGCCCAGAGTCTGCCAGCTCAGCGCATGCTTACTGCTCCGCCCATCCACCATAGGCAGTCCCAGGCTCCTCTCCAAACTAACCCTCTCTCTCCGTGTCCTCACGGTCATCTCTCCGCCCCTGCTCCCCGCCAACAACAGGCCATCGCGCAGGGTGACACCTCTCTTGTTTACAGTTTAAAATGTTCTCTTCTTCTTCAGTTTTGTCTCTTTGCTCGTATTAGCCACTAACTCAGCCCCGACAGGCTGCTCCGAAAAGACGGAAAACGCCGTTACGTAATTTAAAAGTTCAGTCTCGAGAAGAGCAGGCGATCCTTCTGCAAGACAAACGCACATTTTCACCACACGAGCCAAAACATCCCGTACTTGGCTCGTACACTGCACTGTCGTTAGAAATGTCAGTAATTATAAGGATGCATTACTGTAGCGGTAATTAGACAAAGCTGGTTATAGCAAATGCAGTCTGTGAGGTAATTAACAGACAGATTATCCTTTTTAAAAGCTTAGCTGTGAGCACCATTTTTACCTTAAAGTGTTTATTTTTTTAATTTCATATTTTGATAATCAATGAATCAGTAAACAGAACAGGATTTGCTGCCCCCTCTCCCTTTTTTGTTGTTGGTACACTGTCGCCATAAGTTGTAAGAAAAACACATCAAACATATTTTAAACCTTTATTTGTTTATTTATTTACAAACTTTTCAGTTGCTGCATCTACAGTAGAAATTCACTACATTGCCTAGTTTGTCATATTTGGCTGAATCCTCATATAATTTAGTGCATTCTTCGGGACAAAAGAAAGAAGAAAACAAAACAAAAACAACCCCCTCTTGTTTTTGTCATTTGGATGGAAATTACAGACCAATATTATGATTTGAGCACATAAACAGTGTGAAAATGTCACCAACTGAGCAATTTCACCTTCTGGAACAGTTCCCTGGGCCATTTACTCCTCTTTGAGGTTTCACATAACCCATTTGTTTCTCACAGTAATGGTAAGACTACAATTACACGGTTGAATTTGGGAAACAAAATGTCAGCGTGTTAGATTTTAAAATTTAAATGTCAAAAAAAGAGAAGTGATTGCTTGTCTTGTATTTTGTGGTATCAGCACGTTACAGACAAAGTCAGTGGCACCACAGTGATAGTGTGTGTGTTTGGAATGTAAATAAAGGGTAACCTGGAGTGATGTGGCCAATGCCGAGCTGTAAGTTACTGTAATATATTAGGATTAAAAGCCTTTTATTGTCATTATTACGGAGCCCCCCATGTCCCCTGGGGGGCTCCGTACCATTATAAATGTATAAGTCAGATGCAAAGAAAAAACGAATATCATACAATAATTTGTACAGTAAATGTGAAAAAGTGGTACATAACAACATTACTAAATAACCAATGTAGATAAAAGGGATCTAAGAGGTAATGTGTCATTTCCAAGGTGCAAATATTTTGCTGTATATGTATCAGTGTGTACACCACTGTTTTCTGTCTTTATATATGTTCTAACTTTTAAAGGAATTCACGTTTGTAAAATAACTAGCAGCACAGATACCAACTCAAACAGAAGTCTCTGTCATAATCAATGCAACTTTTTTTTCTAACTTTTTTTCCTGATAGGTTTCTGTCCGGCCCATCTTGTGCCATCTAATGTGTCTGAGTGAGGTGTGCAATATGGCAGTGACTCGCCCTGGGTTTTCCTTCTACCTTCTACAACCACCAGGGGGCGTAAAGTTACCGGGTGGAAGGTGAAATAGCCTCCGGAGCCTTACATTTACTGCGAGAAAATAAAAATAAAAACAGTAATCTAACACTTCTATTAAAAATAAATAAAATGAATAATAAATAAATAAATAATGGGACTGAATGGAGTATTTCTATCATCAGTGTTGTAAAACATTAAAACTCCATCTAGCCTATCTTCATGTTATTGAAAAGTAATAAGCGGGGGCCTAAATAATAATGTCTGTGGAGTTTAAATCGTCTGCTATATCTGGAGGCATTACGATCTGATTCGGGATTCATGAACAAATGAATATTCCAGATAATATAAAGAGGATTCAATGATGATGATGATTCAATATTCAAAGATGAACAATGTAGGCTTTATGAATGAAAGGTAAAGAGGGGGTTTGTTTCTTGGAAGCATTTGTAATTTGGTGAAACGGTGCTAAGACGCACTTGTCCAGAAGAGGGCTGCTTTAAAAATCACTGCCACGGTTTCCAGCACTGATCTCCCACAGATGTATTCCTCTATTCTCCTGTAAACGCCCGACAGCGTGCAGCCGCACCTGTGGGTAATTACTAAAAATGCGCCATCGTGAAAAGATATAAAGCTGCTGCTGCTGCGGCTCAAAATTCCGGATCAAATCCACTGCTCCCGTCCTGTGACTTCACTCCATGCATGCGCCATATAGCCTCTGTTTAACAGATTAGATTAGGTTACTGTAATTTAGCCTCCCGTGCTTCCACTGTGGGTCTGTCACACCCAAAATGGTGAACAACATTAACATTCAGTGTGTGTGTGTGTGTGTGTGTGTGTCCCTAAAAGCCCTCCCCGGTGCGCTGTTGCTGTGCAGCGTTGCCAGCTCGTCAGCTGATCCCTCTTGTTCCCTTATCGCAGCTGTTGGATTGTCCACCCCTGTAGTAGTCCGCTCTTTATTTGCTCATGAGCCCGAGCTGTCACGGTGCACTGACATTTGGGTTATAAAATAAGAATTTAAAATAATGTTGTTGTTGTGTTTTGTTTTTTTAAGCCTATTTATGTTGAAATCATAGCGCCTCTCTACATAAAGTATATTTAAACCGATTCAAGCCATGTGACAGGAAACTATTAATGATTCAGCCCAGCTCTGTGACGGCAGATCTGATCACAGATCAGCTGTAAATGCCCCCCCCCCCAGGTTTAAACATTTCAAGCTCCCTCCGCGGCTCTCCACATGTGTCGGTGTATTTCTGCGCTAAATAGTCCTTTGTTTACGCGCAGTCCTCCCCCCCCCTCTCTCTCTGCGGAAGTAGGCTTTTGGTAGTGCAGTGTGTGACTCCTACCAGCTGTTTCCCGCCTTGAAAGCCATCCGATCAGCTGCGCACACACACACAGACACACACACGGTCATGCAGAGGGAGAAAGCAAAGGGGAGGGAGAAAGAGAGAGAGAGGTAGAGCGCCACACACAACGAGGGAACCCCATCAGCTGGAAGTCGAGTAACATTACAACTCTCAGCAGCCTCAAAGTACTACATTACACGGACGAGGCATTCATATCGCCTCTGTGGATTTAACCCGCATCGGATCACGGGGGATTTTTACCCACTAACGTCATAATTTTTCCCTTTTTATACCACGGAGACTGTTTGCTGCTTTTCTTTTTTTCCCCTTAAAAAACTGCTGGTGGTGGGGAGGGGGGGCACCAAACTGGCGAGAGGCGAGCATGGAGTATTTCATGGTACCAACTCAGAAGGTGCCCTCCTTGCAACATTTCAGGAAAACGGAGAAAGAAGTGATTGGTGGTCTTTGTAGGTGTGTATGCCACGCGCGTTTCACCCGACATGCTGTGCCTGTTATTATTTTTATTGTTGTTATTATTATTATTATTATTATCACCGTCATCATCACTATTATCACCATCAAGTCATCTGCTGAGAGCACCGCGCACTTAGCGATGTCGGTTTTGGGCAACACGCTTGGTCTGATGTGTTATTGTGTACACGACCCTCTCACGCGGAGCTGCGGGCATTAATTAACATCAAACGGCGAGATCAAGGGGCGACCGAGCACGCGGGGGGCTCCCGCTGTGTCCACGGCGTCCTCTGCGTGCTTTTATTTTGCATCTTTGACTGCGAAATCGATGTATTTTGTGGCTAACAAACATAAACCACGTGGTTCCGTGCACACCACGCTGCTACTCGCTCAGCGCATCCCCGACCTACTTGTGCTTAAATAATCCCTCACCCGTGGCCTATGTGTACTTAAATTTACAGGAGAAAGGGAAAGTTGAGCTAGCGGGCGTCGCGGTGTGTGAAGGGGTCTATTTTCGCCTCGCACATTCGTGGGGGTTGACGATTTCGCTCGCAGGGAGCCGAAGTTTATTGTGGGTAGTGCGGCCATGCTTGTGGCTTGTGCAAAAAAGTGATGGAGGTGGGGGGAGTGGATGAGAGAGGGGGTGAGATGGTCTGGCGTTTGTTTCCTGTTTATGGCGCCCTGTTTTCATTCACTCCAAACGTTAAAAAAGCACTGCTGTTGTCTTATTCACCCCTGTTTTAGGCGGCGGTGGTTTAAATGGCGTTTCTGCGCTTCCCGTTGACGCTATCGAGCCGCCTCCACTGCGTCGTTTCATCCCGCACCTCTGCCATGCTGCCTGCCGCATTGTTGTAATGGCGGAGGACACGAAAGTCTGCTCGGAGCGCGAAGGTGGTGTCGGGCACTGTGAGGACGGAGGAAGTGTGTTTGGGGGACGTTAAAATACGTTTCCCGTTGGATTTGTTCGGTAAAAGGAGACATTTGGCTTTTCGCGGGGAGGCAGGAAAATTAAAAGTGGCGTTATTAATAAGGGGGTGTGTGTATGTCGCGGAAGGCCCGTCGATACGTCCGCAGCCCTGTTTGAAGAAGGAGGCGGAGGGATCTGCGACTGTTGCTCCTGCTGCTGGTAGTGACATGGGCAGTCTGGGAAATGTAGTCCGCTTTTCTGCGGGGAATTGGTGCACCGCAAGGAAAGCCGGAACTTTACCCAGACAAACTTTAAATGCTTTTAAAATTTAAAATAAAGCGAAAATTGGCAATTTTTTTCTTTAAACTTTGACTCCGTGAGCACACTCTAAAGTCCTTATCACTCAAATATAACTTAATAAAAACCAGAATGACTAAAATTTGTATCAGTTCTTGTTGTAAAGTCACATTTATTCAGCAATAAAATACACAGTTCGTTATTAATTAGCTTTTTTAAATCCCTCGATCTGTAAAATATAACAGTTTAAAAAAAAAGATGATCACTGTTATAGTTTTATTGTTACATTTTATCTGCACAACAGTTTTAAAACTCATGTCCAGGTTGTTATATTTGAGACATTTTGGCAGTCTTGCTGGAAAAGCAACTTGTGATTATTAATGTATTTGTAGAACTCGTAGAATTTGAAGACAAAGTTAGAAAGGCAAGGTTGAGATGGTTTGGGCATGTGCAGAGGAAGAATAGTGCATAGGTTGGAGATGAAAGATGGACCTCCCAGGTGAGCAGATTGTATACAGAGGGTTGGAGTGACAAGAGAGGTTGCTAAGGGTTGGATGTGATGGAGGCAATCGAAAAATGATGTTGAAGATATTTGTGGAACCATATTTCAATTTGATCAGTTTTAATCAGCCTGTTGGTTGAGCTTTGTTTAGTTTCTTGGGTAATAATTTAAGCCTAAACTCACTCTAATTCAGGCTCTAAAGTGGCCTGTGTTTGTAAAGTTCAGGCTCAGTTGGTCATGTTTTGGCAGTGGATCTGTTTGTTGGATGTGCTGCTGCAGTGCTACACGTGTGTGTGTGTGCGTGTCTGTGTATACACACATAGACACTGCTTTTCTAATCTGCATCTGCACAATTGTTCCCAATGTTTGCACTAAGGCAGCTGAGTCAGTACAGATAAGAGCTTGGTTTCAGAGAGGGTCCCATAGATAGTGTTTGATACTGAGGATGTTAGAGGAAATTCACTTAGAATTCCCCCTCAAACTGAATTTAACCATGTGGAATGCACTGATTCACAGTTTAAATATTGGAATGTTCATAATAAACTATATGCTGCTGCAACATTGACATATCTTCTAACACGTGCTAACAATTCAAATAAACAGAACTTGTGATCTTTCATAGGTTTGTAACAATTTCAGTTATTAGCAATGATACATGTAGTTGCTAGTGAGCTGAAAGGACAAAGCCGCTGTAAATACCTGTGTAATCACAGGAACGGGCCAGTCATTTCTGCTCTTTGGTGGTGATATAAATACACACTTTAAAGAGTCAGCTCACATAAAAACAAAACAAACAAAAAAACAGTTGATGTCAAGGGGAGCAAATGCTGTCAGCTTTTTGCTTTTCCTCCTGTGTCCAGATAATTTCTTATGTAATGCAGTTCTGGTATATGTAAACTTAACTCAGCTGCAGGTTTACTGCATTGGTGAAGAGTGGAGCAAACTGTGCCTTGGCATAAGCTGTTTTTATTGGAACTATTTCTTGGGTATAAAGTAGTTCCAACAAAAACCATCAGGAGAGGCTTGCCTGTGCTTGCAATTAGTTTACTAACTTGACCACTAATAATTTCCCCACACTAAACCTTGAGATGTTTTTGAAGTGAAATGAAGGAAAGTGCTAACGGAAGTACGAGAAGAAAGAGCAAATTGAGGAAATCTGGGCTGACCAAAAAAAAAGATTTGATTAGCATTCGCAGCAACAAGTTTACTTGTGGCCACTGAGTGTGCCATCAGCACCATATTAGTAAATGTTTTTTGTTTTAACACAGATTGGTTTATTTTTAAGTCTTCTTAAACTGTACATTTTCCCTAATAGCTTTCCTGCCTCTCCCTTCTTCCCCTAGCCTGGCCAACATTCCTCTGACCCCAGAAACAGCCCGGGACCAAGAGAGGCGAATCCGTAGAGAGATCGCCAACAGCAACGAGCGTCGGCGTATGCAGAGCATCAATGCTGGATTCCAGTCACTTAAAACACTCATCCCACACAGCGATGGAGAGAAACTCAGCAAGGTGGGTCATAAACAGTGATTTAAATTAGATGATGAGTTAGCTGGAGCTGGAAGGGTCTGAACTTGCTTTCATAACCAAACTGTAATGTTGTTCTTCAGGCTGCCATCCTGCAACAGACGGCAGAGTACATTTTTACTTTGGAGCAGGAGAAGACACGTTTATTGCAGCAGAACAGTCAGCTCAAACGAATCATACAGGTAAACCAGTGCGCTGCCCATGCAGACTGTTTGCAAAGGAGTTAGCTGTCTTTTCACTATCATCAATCTTAGCATTCATCTAAAGCACATCTCACATTTCTGTTTGCGCTCTCTAGGAGTTAAGTGGTTCCTCCCCCAAGAGGAGGCGTGCAGAGGAGAAAGATGAAGGGATTGGCTCACCAGACATCCTGGAGGAGGAGAAAACCGAGGACTTAAAAAGGGAGATGATCGAGTTGAGACAGCAGCTGGAGAAAGAACGTTCAGCCAGGATGAATCTGGAAGAACAGGTGACGACAATAACGCAGTTTCAGGAGTTTGAAATTCCACCGACTGCTGTGGTTTGAACTTTTCAGAAATATTATCCTATTTTTTGCATCTTAGATGCGGTCCATGGATGCCCAGTTGTACCCAGAGAAGCTGAAGGCAATCACCCAGCAGTTCCAGGAGCAGCAGGCCCAACCGCAGAGCCTTGTCCGTCTGCAGCAGCACAAACAGCTGGAGAGGGACCTCACTCCAGCCCACAGCCCACAGGTTGAAACATCTGCATATCACTGACTGATATACTTTAAAGATGTATGCTTTTTACTGATATAGAAAAATCCCCTCTGTTTCAGTGTTTCAAACAACCTAATGAATTTAAACCGTTTTTGACACAGAGGATTAGTAAATCAAATCAAGAGTAAAAATCTGGTCTTTTAGACAAATTTTTAGCTTTGAGGTAAATATTTTTGGATTTGTCGATGGAATGATAGGATAAAAAATTTAGACCTTTTGTCGTCATTGTTCAGCTCAGCGTTTCCTTTCCCCCTCTGTATCTTTGTTCATCCTTTTAACATATACAGAGGCCATGTGCAGCAAGCTCTTGAATTTGACACACAAAAAAGTGTTTATTTTTGGCTCATTAGCCTAAACTCATCAGCCGGCAGGCACCAGATTTCCCCCCCTTCCCCCTCCCTAGCATGTAAATTTTTTATGGACTTTGAGTCAATTATGTCAAAGTGTGTTGCGTTTTCTAAAAATACACACACACACATACGCAGCTAGACTAGTCTCAGAGTCTACCGTAGATTTCACAAAGACATGTGGACAAGGACATGACAGTCCTGTCCATGTCCACAGTTAGAGCTGTCAGCAGCTCAGACAGATTCACAGTGTGTTAAATGAGCCGCTCACACGTCTTTCTGCCGGTGCTGTCTCCAGCCCTGATAGCTGCAGCGTCCTGTTACTGCAGGCTTACCCTAACTGAACATGATGCCAAATCAATCATCGCCTGATGTCTGCCCTATCCGCTCCTTGTGGCAGCTGGGCTTTTGCAGTAAAAGATGATTGACGCCCTTTACATTAGTCATATGACACTTTGTGACTCCATAAGCAGAGCTGTGTAATGTAACCTCAAGTCAATATCAGTATGAATTTGCAGAATTACAGCAACACTGAATTACCCGGGGGGGGGGGGGGGGTCGGCTAATTCAGGTGTGATTTACTGTATTGTTACCATCATGACTACTGAACAGTCTAGGACTGCATTGCATGACTCATTTTAATATTGCATTTTAACTTGTTATCATGTTAACATCTCAAAAAAAATTGTGATAGGGTCATGTTTAGCACTATGCAGCATCTTCTCTGTTTTTTAACAGTCCATAAACATCTGGGAACTGAGGTGATCAGGGGCTAGACTTCTGGGAAAGAATGTTGTCCCATTTTTGTTTGATATAAGAATTTAGCTGCTCAGTAGTCCTATCTCTTCTTTGTCATAGTTTTCATTTCATAATGTCAATTGAGCTCAATTTAGGGTTTTTATATAAAGCACTAAATCACAACAGTCCCCACAAGTCACTTTATACTGTAGGGTAAAGACTCTATAGTATTCGAAAGAAACAATCAAACATACCTCTATGAGCAAGCTCCAAGAAGTTGAACTTAATTCTTCTCAGTATTAATTTTATGTTTTTATAAAATGCTGCAGGCAAGCGTAGATGTTAGGTGATTGAAATGTGAACTATGCGCCAACTTCATCACTACTTGATCAACAAAAAACAAGTGTAAACAATCTGCATTACTTTTGCAAAACACTTGTCACTTGTCTCCTTATGTGTGGAAAGTTCTCACCTGCAAGAGAAGAATACAAATCCAGCAGTGATACTGAGTTGAAGCGCTCTGCCAGTAGTGAATTAGACTGCAGGTCAATGAGTTCAAGCTCAACATCACTGGATCCATTATTCAAACTGCAAGTGAAGGGAGCTGAAATCATGTGCATTTCACTCTCAAGTGTTTTGAAGTCTTCAAATCACCTTGAAAACTCATTATGCAGGGCTCCTAACGTGGACAAGTACCAGCTGAGGGGATCAGCTGATGGTATGGCTTCTTTCACTGTTGACATGTAAGTGAGAATGGTGTTCCCAAATCGGCTTGAAAGAAACTGCAACTTTCTTATGAAACCTTTTTATGAAGCTTTACATTTCATGTGCAAATTGGCCCTGTCTTGCAGTTTGGTATTTAGTTCATTCATTAGTGCAGTCATATAAATAACAAATGTAAGACTGTATTCCGTTCTCCTGAAGAGCGCTCTGAATTATCCTTGCCTTTCTTCACATAAAACTCTTAAATTTTTACTCTCAAGTGCGACACTCTTACCCAAGCTGAGCCACCTGACAGCTGTGTGGTAGCCTATGTCACCATTTTCAGTCTCGCGTCCCTCCAAAAGTAACAAACAGTGCTCTTGCCCACATCAAGTTAAATATTTTAACAATGATATGGTTAATTTTTAGCACCTACTTACACAACACCTCCTGGTGTATAATACAATGCAGAGATACCTATTTCAGTTCTGGGATCATTTCAGTCCCTTTTTCTTGCATCCACTTCAGAAGGCTGACATTTTCCCTGTCAGATTTGATTTTTTTTACTCGGGGTATGCTAGCACAGCACAGTCCACAAAACACTCTTTTATAAACTCCCCAAGAGAAATTGGCTTAATGTTTTTTTTATGATTTGATGAGACTCTTCCATCCCTAGATCTGTAAAGCCTGGTAAAAGGTCTTTGTCGTTTTGTAGCTTTTTTTTTTTTTAGCAAAGGTTAAACTGTCTGTTCCCACTCTGCATAGGTTCTTGTATTTCTCTAACGAAGAGCTAAAAAAATTTAACTAAAATTTTAACTAAAATTAAAATTCTAACTTTTAATTGAGCTTTGGCCGAAAGAGGACTGCAGTCTTTCACTATTATGTTCACATGTGCCTCTTTTTTGAGTGAATGAGCTTCAACATGCATTTCTGGTTAGCATCGTAAACCGTTCACAGACAGTGATTTCTGGAAGTGTTTCTGACCCCATGCAGTGATTTCCATGACAAAATCACATCTGTTTTTAATGCACTGCTGCCCAGGAGCCTGAATATTACAAGTGTTCAGTATTGATTTTTGGGCTTGTCTTCTTTGCGCACAGAGATTTCTCCAGAATCTCAGAATCTTTTGATCATATTTTGTACTGCAGATGATGAAATATTCAAAGTCTTTTTCAGTTTAACATTGAGGAACATTTTTTTGATGATTTTGCAGTTTTCTGCAGATTGGTGATCCTCTGCAAAGACTCTGACCCTCTAACATGCTCTTTAATATACTTAGTCATACTACTGACCTGCTGCAAATTAACCTAATTATTTTAAAATGCTCCTCCAAGTTTTCTTTTTTATAAAACCACTTACTTTTATTATTGCTCCTGTCCCAACTTTTTTGAGGTAGTTTTTGCCATGAAAATCAAAATGACCATAATTGTCTCAGTTTAAACAACTGATATGATATATTCTCTTCTCCTTTGCATTTTACACAGGATCCTAACTTATTTGGAGTTGGGGTTGTATTTTTCTATTACTGCTAACGTTATTTACAAATTTAATATATGTTAATAGTAAACGGTGCAGGTTAAAAATGTGCCTTCAGTGCACTGAGGTTGCAGAAGTGATGACATGAGAATAATAAACGATGATTGCACCTTTCTACCAGGTGTTGGCCCCTGCTACTCCCCCAGCCCCTACACACCACGCTACAGTCATTGTTCCTGCACCTGTCCAGACTCCTCAGTCCCACCATGTTACTGTGGTAACCATGGGCCCAGCATCAGTTATCAACACAGTTTCCACATCTCGACAGAACCTGGATACCATCGTTCAGGTAAGGCACAAAATCCTGCCTCATATCCCACCACTAGAGGGGGGTGTTGTCGCTGACATCTGTTGCCTCTGTGTTTCCCTCAGGCAATCCAGCACATCGAGGGCACCCAGGGGAAGGGTGGCGCCGGGGAGGAAGAGCAGAGGAGGGCGGTCATCGTCACTTCAGGACGTGTCCTCTCTGACGCGGCAGGCTCAGACACAGCCTCAAACAGCGACGGGCCGGACGACTGTTCACTGCCTTGAGTTCATCCCTGACGTCTTACGTACAATACACTCACATGCACGCACACACCTACACACAAGCCCCAAGCGGAGCAGGGCTACGGGAGCCTACAAACTCACAGCGCTGTTGTTCGGTGGAAAAGTCTGCTAGTTAGATTGAAGCACTTGTTTTGTTTTCTTAATCAATACACGTCATGTTGTACCGTGATAGGCAGCCCTTATGGTTTACACTTAGACACTCACACATGCAGCCTCTTCTGTTTTTTTTCCTTTCCTCTGCTTATGTCTAGCGCTGATCCTTCATTCACTCACTTACACAAGCTTTCTTCGTTAAACTATAGAAAGACAAATAGAGCGACTACTTCACTGACTATAAATGCTCTGTTTTACTGGATACTAGAACTTTCGAATGTCAACTAAACATTTTCATTAACTACCAGGACTGTTATCTCTCTGTGCGCCCCTGAAGTCGAAAAAGGAGACAAAGTCAATGAAGAGCCCATTGGTGTGGCGTCAAAACCCTCGCACCAGAGCAATTTTTTTTCCCGCCCCTAAGCTGAACATCCTTTAAACCTTCCTCGGTTCCCGATCCAACTGAGCTGTATGGAGAGACACTGTGAGAAAAAAAAGACTGTCCTAAAGTTCCACCTTTTAGGCTTTGTGTTGAGAGAATGTGTTATTTTACTTTTGTGAAGTCGACCTTTTCATGCTGTGTTTCTCTTAAGAGTCCTCTAACAACAGGTTGATGAGAATTTCAAAGCTGTTTTTCATGGCTGACTGGTGCTCACAGGAAATGAAGCGAAGCTCGAAAAGAGAGTGCACTTACTGGTTCAAAACGCTATTTTATTTTTCTTCTCATGTTGTTTGTTTGTTGCCATTTTTGCTGGGCTGGGATCCCAGTAAACCCACATATCTTGACCCACATGACTTATTCTGTTTACTCGTGGCCTGACCAAAAAAAAAAGTTTTTAAATTTCGCATTTCCTGACATCTTCCCTTTCTGAGTTTAAAAACACATGGCTTTTAAAATAAGCTACTCTTTGGGCCCCTGTTGAGTAACTGTCACATATGTGTCTCTTTTAGTGTTTTGAATCAGCGAGGCTTAGCGGTGCTCCGGACTCTGGTAGTCTGCAGCAGACCCGCTTTTGCCTTGAAATTCTTGCACGTGCAAATATAACTTGAATACAATCACTTGTTTGCTCGATCTTAAGAGCTTGTTCTATTTAGCCCCTTCCAGTGTAGTTTGCTTGTTTGTTTGTTTTTTGTTTGTTTGTTTTGGGATATGTATCAAAGCAGAATATGCTTAAAATATGAGGAAAATGCCCAGTCTATATGCATTTCTTTATATTGAATATTTATCCTTTAGTGCGTTTTCTGTAAAATGTACCATGTTGTTTTTTTTTTGGTTTTTTGGTTTTTTGTACTCATATTTCTGCTTGCATTTTTATTTGTTCTGTTGCCGGGAACTCTTGGTTGACGGACAGATTGACAAAGACATGTAGCGGAGAGAGGCTGCAGCATGCCTTACTAATAGCAGGTGCAGGGAGGCACTGTGAAGCCAGCCTTAACACAGCCCTGGGGTTGAGGGAAGTTTTATTTTTTTATTATTATTATTTTTTCTCTTACCTGCGTCATTTGGTAGCCGCTGGAACCCCTTTTTTGTTTCGAGCTATCAGATCAATCCAGCTGGTTTGTGTTGGAATACTGTATATTCCCAGTCATACTTTGTTTTTATTTTACTATGCTTTTTAAAAAACAGGTTGCATTCATATGGTCCTGAAAGAGTATTCAAAATGCGATTTCTGGTTACTAGTAGATTTTATTATATTTTAGCCCCTTAAAGCCAGTTGATTGGCAAAAATATATATACACACAAATATATATATATGTGTATATATATATATATATATATAGCCACAAAGAGACGTCAGCATTCCATAAATGTCCTTTATCAGTTCATTTTTCAGAAGATTAGTTGCATCTTTGACGCATCCCTCCTCACCCCTTGTGTCAGTGCATAGATGGAGCTTCGAACCGCTGCACAGATAAATCGCGGAATTGCCCTTTAAAGAAAAAACTATTGATGTCAGCTGCACTGCAATAAGCAGAATTAAATGATGGGTTGTTTGCGAGTGCTTCTCTTGATAGGAAAGGGGATTCCTGGATATGGAAAAAAGTTTGCATGCTCTTCTGTTTGTGGAGCTTGCTTTCCTTATTTTTTGCCGTCTGTTTGCATTTGATCACTTTCCCCTAAATCCCAGACATGGTTTATTTCCATCTACGTTTTACGCTGTGGGTCGAGTGTTAGGAAGCATACGCGGACATATCAGGTGGTCGGAGAAGTGGGGTTGGCTTTGAGGGGGTTCCACTAAATAGGGTCAAGATTACAAAGCACTTACTGTACTATATAGGAGTTTGCTTCTTTCTTGTTTTTTTTGTTTTTTTGTTTTTTTATGAAGGAGCATCTCCTCATTTGAAGCTCTTGAAGTTGAGTAAAAACCGCACAGCTGTGTATCCCCCCTTTCCCTCCATGTCCAGTCCTCCTACATCTTGTCCTGTCACATTCTTTTGCAGTTTTTATGCTGTCTTTGTTTATCTGTTGACAAGTCTGAGCTCTCTTCTCATTTTTCCGCTTGTTCTCCTTCCTCTACCCATTTTTTTTATTTTTTTTGTTAGACCCATCAATGGATATGGTCATCAAGAAGCTATTTTTTTTTTTTTTTTTAAAGAGAAACGTTTTGGGGATAAAGAGGCTCGTGCCTTTGTAAAGACAGAATAATAAAGTTTGTACTTTGTTTTGTAAACACTGGGCTTTCTGTGTGTCTTTTCTGTTTCTCTGGTAACAGTTATTCTAACACAAATAGTGACATAACCAGCTGAATTTGATTCATTTCCAGTTCTGTTTGGCTGTTACTCAAGCAGTCGAGTTGATGCACAAGTGTCTGTTCCTGATTGGTGGATGGGCTGTTCAAGCCTCCCTCCCTCCCCTGCTCAGTTGCTCATGGCTAAATTAAGACTGACCACCTTCTCTGTAACAGTTAAAATTTACACCAGGGACGGTAGACTGCATCTCCCGTTGTCATCCTGTCTCTTGCCTCTTGTTCACACGCTCGCACATCTTGTAGAGATACTGCTGGTTTTGGTGTCTGGGGTCAGCTGTTCGTGTCATATCAGGATGTTCTCAGTCATTTAGTTAATAACCAAAATCAGGAACGTCTACAACAAAAGTTGAATGTGGTATTTACTTCAAATGTCATTGACACGTTGAGAGCATGGGTACACCCTAGATCAGGGGTGTCAAACATAAGGCCTGGGGGCCAGAATCAGTCCGGCAAAGTCTCCAATTCAGCCCCACCTGCTGTGGAAAATGTGACGGGCATAAATTTGGCTGTTTTCTGTGGTCCCCTGCTCACCCACTGAGCCTAACTGACACCCATATGAAGAAACAGAAGACTTGGATTAGGTGACTCTTTCTCACTTATTGTTTAGATATGAAAGTTGCTGTGTAATTTCTCATATTATAAAGTCTGTAAATGTCCTCATACTCTCCTCCTGTGCCTCAGGTCACCAGCTAGACTTCCTCAGACTCCTCTGATGGCATCATCATCCTCCCAGATTGCTTTGACAAGCTGGTTTCGGCCAAGCCAAAAGTAAAACAGGAGGAAGAGGAGGGTTTCCAGCACGAACTTGTGCAAGGATGCCCTCCGAGAGAGAGGCAAGAGTTGACAGAGGACATTTACCGGCAAACACTGGGCCTCCACCCATCACTCGAATCAACACCACCATGGACCAGGTGCTGTGTGCCTCACAATCTGTGGATGATGTGACGTTGTTCTCCCTGGGAATCAGGGCTCCTATTTTCTGGACCCCAGCTTCTCCCACCAGCCTCCTTTAATCACCAAAAAGTCCAAAGGGAGAAGCTTTATAAATGAGCTTAGGTTATAAATGCTTTGGTGTGAGAAATTAGTGCAATCTGTTACCAAGCAAATACAGCGTCAGTATCTGCGATACTAAGTACCGGTACTTTTCACTAATACAGACACTTTATGTAAGGGAGAGCGACGTGCTCAATCTGCATACTTTTTAATCACGACTAAAGATGCAATTTTTATGATTGTGAATTAGTTAACACAACAAAACACACCTTCCACAGTTTTTCTAATGGAGTATAAAACTGAAAATTAAAACTGCTTAAGGGCTAAAAATGTTCTGAAAAGCCAGCACACATGTATCATGGTGTTATAAAGCTATCTGGATACTTTAGGGGGTTACGGGGTCAAAGCCCAGTAAAAAGAACAAGAAGCGCATATTTAAGATTTCTTGCATACTGTTATTTCAGACATTGAGATGTGGAATGTGCACAAAACTGTCCAAACAGATCACTTTTCAGATGCAGGTAGGGTTTTCTTTACTGCTTTTCAGGTGACACCTGCACGGCAGTTCGAGGGTTTTAGAGACAAGTTGTGTTTTTTGTGGTTTTAGAGCAGTTAGAATGGAAAACATCCGCGCCACCTATCATCATCTTTGCCAACCTGCATTTCTACTCATTCTGATTTAACCGTCAACTGCAAGCTAGAAAATGTCATCAAACTGTTACTTAAATGACTTATTTAGGGTGAGAAGAAATAAAAGCATAAGGAATGAATAAAGGAGGAGTCGAGAGCATGGGTAGAGGAGGGAGAGGTAAAAATTAAAGAGTTGGACAAAAGATGAAGGAGGAGGAGAAGGCTACACTTGTCCAAGCTTAACTTCTTTTAGGAAAAACTTGAAACGCGCTTTTTCTCTTCAGAGTTTCTGCAGAATTTATCCCATGCTTGAAGGTTTTTCATCTCAGCGATCATATCTGAATTCTGATCAAGTATCTTACACCGTCTTCTACTGCTCTTCATATTTCTCTTTCTGTAATTTCTTTGTCTTCATTCACGTTTTTGTTCATTTCTTCTTCCATGTCTTTTGGTTTCCATCTGTCGTTGCTTCTCCTCCTCCGTTTCAGTGTTTTCTCTTCTGTACTCTGTTTTATACTCCTTGCAAATGCACATTTTTGCTCACCATTTCGTGGATACTACACTACATCACTTTGCATACTTTCTCCAAGTTTTACTTCTTTTCCTCAATTTCAATATTTCAAAATATAAAATACTTGCAGTGCCCCATATTTTGTCTCAAAGTCTTGGATAATATGCTGCAACCCTAAAGTCAAAGTCCTGTGCTATTGCATATGTGCATAGTGGTTTGAAATTTTTTCAGCCTTTCGCTTGCAAAGCAATTAGGAAAACAAAACAAGAGCACATGCAGTAGTTTTACTCACAAGCCCTTGAGTAGCCAGTGGCAAAACTGGACAATGTGCTAGTGAAGGAAACAATGAAGGAGTGCTGCAGCAGCTGGCAGCAACCAAAAACCCTCTTGAGAGATGTCAAGAGACATCTGCAGACATCTGGGTTCCTCTATGCTCCATCAAAAACTCCAAGGACGGCCCCCTGGTCAATAACTTTAGCCAGCGTACACAAATATCTCTCAGTCCAATCACATTATGAAGCCCGTTAAAAAACACTAGAACCACCAAAGTGGGTCATTTTGGCCCTTTTGCATTTTAAAAATCACATAACTCGGTTAAAATTAAAAAAAATATTGTCTTTTCCTAAAAATCGGATCACAGTATTCATCAAATAGTGAATCTTGGGGTGTGTGGGATTGAAAAGCCCATTGTTCATCAGTGCTGTTGGTTTCAGTCATTGTGCAAATGTACTGTTTATAAGTTTGGGGAAACCTGCAGTCAGCTGAGACTGAAGAAGTCACCTGGATGAGTGATGAAATGTTTCCAGATTAACAGAATCAACTTTTTGGGAAACCATAGCCCCCAACTACTCCCCAGCACCAGTGAACTATCTGAGGATTAATGCTGTTTTCCGCTCTAAAATGAACACGCTGTAATGTTTGGACATGCTTCCCGAGTCATTTGGAAAAGGCATGCTTGGGTAGGAAACTTCTGCCATATTTGGGGATTAATTTACAGTGGAGATGTTGATTCCTGAGGAATTGTGAGATTATGTTCGCCACACTACATCTGCCTGAGTGTGATAAAGCAGTAATCCGCCCAGCCTTTAGCTGTGCCAGGGATTCAAGTCTGACTCAGGGGTCCTCATGCTTCCGACATACCCTCTCTGCAGCTCTCTCATCCCCTCACACTCTCTTTTGGTGATTACTTTAACCAATACGGCAGCCAAGTAAGTCTTCCTTACCAGAGTAAGAGTCTGACAGTTCCCTTCAATGCTTCAGTGCAGCACATTTAAGCCTACTAAATCTAGAAATTCATGGAGATGGGTTAGTAAAGCTGTTACAGTCATCATTTTCTTTTGTTTCAAATTTGATAATGCTTTAGTTAAATAAGAGGAAGACAGTCTCTTTAGACACAGCTGTACTATTCATTCAAATTGCAGCAAATACTCCAGCTCTTGGCTGACACAGCTTTGTTATTTGGTTTAGACAAGCAAACTGCAGTTCCTTAATTAGTGAACTTCCTGGGAGAGGTGCTAGTCTCGTAATTATGGTGTTTTGGTCGGATCATAGCAGAGCAGCACCTATATTTTTTCCCTGTTTGCAGCTTTTGTGCTGAGCAATGCTAACTAACTAACAGATAAGAGATTCCTGTTGCTCTATTAATCAAGTACTCACCAAGAAAAGGAATGCATAGGTCCCAGTTTAAGCTACTTCAATGCATTTGGCATTTATCCACTATGAGAATAATTTAAAAAAAGAAGAATTATATTACTTAATATCTGTGAAAATCTTATTCACATAAAAAATGTGGCTATTTCAAGTCTCTGGCATTAATTATGTGATATATATTGTTAGTGAGGAGTTGAGTGAATTTGCTATGGAGGATAGAGCCAACTCTTGTGCACTTATGACGAGGCCTGAGCTGCAGCCTCCCGCTAAAAAAAAGAAGAAAGAGTCAGCTGCTTGCACATGTAGAGTCCCTGTGGCACGATAGACTCCTGTAACACCTCGAGCACACACAGATCTCAGCCCCTCCACCAGCTGGCCATCTCTGTATCCCACCTCTTCTCTCTCTCTGTGCACTTTAACCTTCCTGCCTTGGTATATATAGTCTGTGTGACTATCAGAGTTCTCCTGGCAGCCATCATGAAGGGTGCAGTCTCGATCTGTTTCCTCTCTCTGCTGCTTTTGCAGGCCACAGCAGGTAAGATTCAGAAGCAATTTGGTAAAACTTGCTGTTTTAGGTGAGCTGGTGCACCGTGGGCGTGAGAAATGTTTGTGTACAAGTACCGCTGATGATTGAAATGGTGATGTGGCATAAGTTTAGAAGCAGGGTTAATGAATGGTTAATAAATAGCACCATATTTGACTGCTTTGTCAGGTTGATACTTCAATGGTTCCTCAAAGATTCAGAGGATGGCCAGAAATGGCCTGTCATATTATTGAAAACAGGCTGTCCTGTAGGTTTTTGTGTCTATTGTAGGGTCAGTTTGGCCACAAATGGCACTGGCTTTTAGAGGCAGAGTACAGCACCACCCAAGGATAAGGATAGACAGACAGAAATGGTACCCCAGCCTTTCTTTACCACCAGGCTAAGCTATTTAAATCTGTCCCAGTTTATAGTTAAAAAGCTGGCACGTGTTACAGAGTTGTGGATTTACCTGTCTCTTTCTAATGCTCTTCATTATTAAATCAAATGTTTCATGGCATACTGGAACAGCCGTCACTTTTCATGTATGAACAAATCGCGTTTGGGCGAGTTTCTGAAGTTCGGGATTATTCAAAGCC